GGGAACGAGTCGTCTCTGTGGGAGTGTCCCTCGGCGGGCTGGGGACAGCACGACTGCGGACACAAGGAGGACGTGGCGGTCGTGTGCTCAGGTACCCGAAACCACAAAGTGATCAAACTGCTGCTGCAGTTTTGAAATAGACACATATCCTCATGAGATGTAGCTGCAAGATGACATGGGTTTTCTTTAAAGGTGAAAGCAAAGATGTACCAAGATACAATACCTCACTGCCGGGAAACCAGACTCATGAACGCAACCCAGGTGAGTCCACTGAGCACTGTGTACATGCACTGCCCTATGTGAGATTCAAGATTATTTAGATATAAGAACATAAGAAGGCTTACATACAAGAAGAGGCCATTTGGATCTGCTAGCTTGTTTGATAGACAGTAGTTTACTTAAGTGAGGATCTCATCCAGCTAGCCAGGATATCGGCTTCAACAACATGGCCGGGCTTCTTGTTCCACACCCCTACCACCCTTTGTGTACAGAAGAGCCTCAGACTCTTTATTCGCCTTCCAGAGCTGGCGCTGCGCCTGGTGGGACCCAGTCACTGCTCTGGCCGGGTGGAGGTGCGGTTCGAGGGCTCCTGGGGGACGGTGTGTGACGACTCCTGGGACCTGCAGGACGCCCAGGTGGTCTGCAGACAGCTGGGCTGCGGGGCGGCCGTGAGGGCCATGGGCAACGGCTCGTTCGGCAGGGGACACGGCGCCATCTGGCTGGACGAGGTGAAGTGCACGGGCGATGAGCGCCACCTGTGGGACTGCCGCCGCTCTCCCCTGGGACAGGGCAACTGCGCACACAAGGAGGACGCTGGGGTCGTCTGTACAGGTGAGCGGGGAGCGGGTGAGACGAAAGATCGCTCAAATCCAGTCCTGAAAGGCCCGAAGGTCTCTGGTTCTCTTTCCACTTGAGGCCTCAATTAGCTAATTTGACAAACAGCCTTTCCTTTTCCTTGAGACCCAGCGCCTCTGTTTATACCATGTCTTCCTGCCCACCCAGAGGTGCTGCCAGGGGGCGGCCTGTCCATGCCGCTGGCGGCCCTCCTGCCGCTGGGCCTGCTGCTCCTCGGCGCGCTCCTCGCCTTGGCCTGGCAGACGCAGCAGAACCGGCAGCTGAGGACAGGTCAGGCGGGGTCTCCTTCCGCCCGCGGGCAGATCTCGCACACACACAGACCTGCACATGCATTTACACACTTACATGCACTCACACGTGCACTCAGACATACACAGATTCACTCACACCCATGTGCACAACCTCATACACATGTATGCACACTCAAACTCAAACTTGCATACGCATGTGCTTAGCCTCGCTCTCGCACATGCACTCGTACGTGCACTCGCACTTTCACACTTACACGGTCACACGCACACGCACTCGCACTCGCACTCGCTAGGTACACAGACTTGCAATTTCCGCATGCACTCGCGCACACACACACACTGGCACTCGCACATGCTCGCTCACACGCATAGGCACACATGTACGCGCACACACACGCACACACATGCATGCACACCACGACTGTAGAAGTAAAGTGGGGGAGACTGTATTTCAATGTCCGTGATTGATAACAACTCCCCTTGACTGCTACCAAACCCAACCACACCTATCACCATGCAAGGGCTTTTTGTACCCAACACACCACTGATTAAACCCATGTGAGAATGTGCACTTCACCCCTGGTACCAGTCATCTAATCCAGTGGCCCACAACTCTGCAGCTCTTCATTCCAGCTCAGTTTAACGATCTAATTGAGAAGAAATCAATTCATAGTATAATATTAATGCTTTTCCATCTGTTGGTGTTTTAAAGAGACCTAGAAAACCTTCTGGATTCTGCCCCCACAGGGACAGGAGTCATGCACTTCGTTTAGCTCCCACTGAGATTACATGCTCTTCAATAAAAGCCCTTTGGCGCCTCTAGTGGCACGCCAGCACATCTGCAACCACTTCATAGGCCTGCCTGCCGCAGATCCAGTTAGCCCGCCAGCATGTCGCGCACAATCCAGAGAGGGACAGGACTGAGGAAGGACCGGCCAGTTGTTGCTGTACAGTTCAGACAGGAGGGCTGAACTGTTTCCCTTCCCCTCTCAGTTGTAGCCCGGAGAGAGATCGCTCTGCGGCAGGATGCCGTCTATGAGGAGCTGGACCACAAGCTGTACACGGTGAAAGCATTCGGACCCCCCCGCAGAGGTGAGGAGAGAGAGCGTCTCGGAAACTACCCCGGGCCTCCACCCGCGGCTCACGGCAGGGCAGAACTAGCAGCCACGCAGCCCGTTTGATTGTTTATAGATAATTGATAACAGGGTCTCATCCAGCTGTGTCGTGAAAGAAGCCAGGGTAACGGCCTCAAGAACATGGGCTGGCAGCTTGTTCAACACTCCCACCTCTCTCTGTGTAAAGACATGCTTCCTGTCCTGACTGGAGAATCTCAGCCAGCTATGTCTTATAAGAAACCAGGGTTTAACGCCATGACTGCGGAGCTTGCTTCTCACTCTCACAACCCTGTACATAAAGACGTGACCCCGGTTCCCGCTTTTAAATGCACTTCTGTGAGGTCTGCACTTGTGTGGGCTACAAAGTAGTTCCAGCTTGTAACTTCCACCTGGTTAGGTATGTCTGGTTACATAACTTCAGTGAAAGGCTTATGTTTTAAAGGTAAAGGTACTAATCTTTCATGAACTTGTAAAGTATTTTTGTTCTTTTGGAGCAAAAACAAAAGCTTTTTGCAGAACCTTGCAAATGTCTTAGAAACTCTCACCTAACACTCACTCCTCATATTGAGTCATTGCCTGAAGTCTGGCCTGCTTTCCTGCTCACAGGGAGACTCCTGTTTGAAGAGCCGCCATCCAACTATAATGATGTGGAGATCAGGGAGGGGCACCCCAACCCAGGTAGGGCGTCTGGTCCTCAGTTATCCCACAGTGCACCACACCAGCCCTCGCTCTACCCCAGGTAGGGCTTCTGGAGTCAGCAGAGGTCACTGGTCCTCAGCTATCCCACAGTGCACCACACCAGCACT